TAACAACAACAACAACAACAACTGATTACCATGCATCTGTGACCATGATTATTTTGCATTCAGAGTCCTCCTCATGGCACTTTCACAAATGGAAAAGGGTGTGCACAGGGGTTCTTGGGTGGCCTGTATAGGCAAGGTTTTAGATGCACGGGCCACTTGCCTAGTAGTTCTCATCAGCAAGGCTTGAAAGTGAACCTGGTGCTCCTCCAACCTAGGGCCAAAGGAGCAGAGTCAGCCACAAGTTAGTGAAGCCAGAACTCAGTGAACAAAGGATGAGAAGTTTTGGCAGGCCTTCCTTTTTCTAAGGACAAAAACAAAAAACAAACAAAACAAAAAAAACCCAAACTCACTGCCATTGAGTCAGTCCCAACTCATAGCGACCCCTCCTTGGGTCTCCGAGGCGGTATCACTACAGAAGTAGATTGCCCAACCTTCCTTCCGAGGAGTGACTGGTGGGTTTGAACATCCGCCATCCAGCCTTCTGGTTAGCAGTCAGATGCCTTAGGCACCACACCACCAGAGCTCCCTCTCTAAGGACAAGTCAAGCCCATTGTCTTGCCAACCTCTTTTCTGCCTCTCCTGGCTTATGTCAATATCCCTTTACTGGTCACTGAGGACTGTATGGATACCAGCAATTCACCTAGGTGGAGAACACAAAAAGGACTGGCTCGTGGTTAGGCAGACTGTATACTTGCTGTGCTCTCTGAGAATAACTTACCTTAAATATTTGCTCATAAAATAATCAGTATGTGCTTTCAGGCTTTGTCTTTAAAAGCCTTTAGCCCAACCCTAAGAAATGTTCCAACTTAACATCATCAATAACAGCAAAAGGGACATCATGTGTCTGTTGATATGATGCAAAGGGAAGCACAAAATATCACCTATGTAATATTCTTGCCAAAATGTTTAGCCTGAATATAATAATGATTAAAAAAAAAAAAAAAAAATCAAATCCAGACTGTGGGATATTCCATAGGACAACTGGCCTAGACTTTAAAAATAAATAAATAAATAAATCAGTACTCTGAAAGGAAAAATAAAGGTGAAAGAGTTATTCTAGATTTAAGAGATTAAGAGATATGATGATCAAACACAATGGGAGCATCTTGATTGGATCCTGGATTTTAAAAAAACAAACAGTATATTATTTGGAAGCCATTGAGGAAATCTGACTATGAACTCACATTAGATACCATTAAAATAAGGTTATGTTTCTTGGGTGAGATAATTTTACTGTGCTTATATAGAAGAGCTGTCCTAGTTCTTTGGAAATACATGCTGAAGTCTGTGGAGAAGGAGCATCAGGATGTCTGCAACTTACTTTTAAATTGTTCAGGAAAAAATGGTATGTGTATATATATATATACACACACACACACACACAGACACAGAGAAAGTGCAAATGCTGCAAAATGTTAGCAATTGGCAAATCTAGGTACAGAGTGTATAGGCATTCTATTTTACTGTTCTTTCTACTTTTCAGTAGATTTAAAACTAATCTCTCTTCCCCAAGGCAGCACATCCATATTTGAAAACAGCTATCGTCCTTTTCAAAGATGGACATTCTTAACCAGATGCCCACAAGAACGCTGAGTGGCTTTCACACAATCCCACCCCTCACCCTACAGATTTTGATTCAGCAGGTAAAGGCTAGGATCCAGATATATGTATTTTATAAACCTCTCCAGGTGGGTTTAGTGATATAACTGAGGATAGGAATCATGGGTCTGGGTTATTCTGTGATCCTGGATCCATCAGGAACTGGTGGTGTGGCTCTGGGAAGGTTAGTCAAATTCACTGAGCCTCAGATTATTGTCATCATTGTTGTCACTAGTTGCTCATGCCAACTCCATGTGTTCAGAGTAGAACTGCTCCATAGGAAACCTTTCTCATAAAATGGGAACTAAGTACCTTACTGGGCTGTGGTGAGGATGAATGAGAAACAGCGCTTGCAGCATAGGAAGTGGTCAGTGAATACTGGTTTCCTTTCTTCCTTTGCTCATAGATGCACATCATGCTAAGCTGATCATATGTAAGGGAATTTTCACACAATGTGGTGTTTTCCATTTGCAATTTATCAAGAGTGTAGAGGAAGTCTAT